ATCATCATAATCATCAACATCAGCACCATCATCAGAATCAACATCATCATCATCATCATCAGCATCGTCTTCCTTGTCGTCGTAATCACCATCATCTGCATCATCATCATCACCATCATCATCAGAATCAGCATCACCATCATCACATCATCATCATCAGCAGCAGCATCATCATCACCATCATCATCATCGTCGTCGTCAGCATTACCATCACCACCAGCAGCATCATCACCATCGTCAGCACCGTCATCATCATCATCATCATCATCATCATCATCATCACCGTCATCATAAACATCATCGCCAACACCATGATATTCCTTGTTCTCATCATCATGATCATCATCAGTAGCATCACACTCATCACCAGCATCCATCATGATCCTCATCACCAGCAGCATCATCATCACCATCAACATCATTGTCGTCATCGCCATCGTCGTCAGCAGAATCAGCATCATGCTGTTTATCTCATCGTCCGCTACAGTCATCCTCATCCTATCCTCATCGTCATCTTCATTTTTGATCGACACCACCACCAGCAGCATCATCATCACCACCACCACAAGCAGCCTCCTCATTCTCATCCTCATCCTCATCCTCATCAGCAGCATTGCCCTCATCGATTTGAGCAGCTGCCACCGAGAATACTAGGCTGACAGGTTGGCAGGACTTGCCGAGGGCAGCTGGATCTCTCTCTCTCTCTCTCTGTCAATCAGTCTCTCTCTCTCTCTCTACATATATATATACTCTCATGTGGATATAAGGCTACCTACCTGAATACACGTACACTTACCCACACACATACACACACAGACACGGGCGCATACACATACACTTACACATGCACGCACCTATGCCTATACATATCCACATGCAGATGCACATCTGCATACACATAAACATACACGTGCACATCTGCATCACATGTACCCATACGTGCACGCACCAATTCCCATGTGTGCACGCAGGTGTGCAAGAAGGCTGCTGCTCGTGGCCTCCGGTCGTGGGATGGCGGCCTGCCATTCCGAACCGGTGTTAGTCTGCAGCCCCCAAGGCCCCGGCCACACGTGGCGACGAAGTGTGGAGGCTCCAAAACTTCGCGCATCGCGCCCCACGATGCGCGTTGCGCGGTTCGCTTCGCGCCCTCGCGCCCCCGCGCCGCCCCCCCCTGGGGAGGGGCAGCCGCTCCTGCCCACACCGCTCCGCGCCCCCGCGGGTGACCTGGCCAAGTGGGGGCGGAGCAGATGGAGGATCGCGCCGCATCGCCGACGCATCGCCAGTGCAGCGACGACGCGTCGGCGACGCAGCGCCGATGCATCGGCGTCGCCGGCGTGGGGACAATCGAGCTCCACATCGAGCCGCTTTGCCGATGCACTGGCGGTGCGGCGCGATCCACCGACCGACCCCGCGTGGGCGGCCTGGCAGCTGGCCGCCACGACCTGTTCGAGGCGCCAGAAGTCTTGGGCAGAGCGGGGAGGGGAGGAGGAGGAGGAGGAGGAGGAGGAGAGGAGGAGGAGGAGGAGGGAGGAGGAGAGGAGGAAGAGGAGGAGGAGGAGGAGGAGGAGGAGGAGGAGGAGGAGGAGGAGGAGGAAGAGGGGAGGAGGAGGAGGAGGAGGAGGGGGGGAGGAGGAGGAGGAGGAGGAGGAGGGGGAGGAGGAGGAGGAGGAGGAGGAGGAGGAGGAGGAGGAGGAGGAGGGAGGAGGGAGGAGGAGGAGGAGGAGGAGGAGGACCGACAAGGGAGGGCCAGCTCAGGCAGGGGGGGAAGCCGTCGACCCAGAAGCGGGGACGCGTCGCCGACAGGGTCGGCGACAGGCCCGCGACAGCGGACCCGCACGCCCCCGGGCGGGGTGGAGATCATCGCGCCCCTGTCGGCGATCAGCGTGCGATTGGCGCTCGATGCGCTCCCACTGAGCCTGCCCCCCCCCCCTAACTCAAAGTCGGGCACGTCCCTCTACATGAGGAAGATTCCACAAATCCGCCGACCCCGTCGGCGTGTGGAAGAGGATGTTCCGCGTTTGACTCGTCCTCGTCGTCGTCGTGGTCGTTGTTGTCGTCGTCGCCGCCGTCGCCGTCGCCAGTCCCCTCCCTTTCCCTGAGCCTGGCGCCGCTGCCTCCACTTTCACCGGGCCCTCCTCCTCGAGCGCGCCAGCCACAGCGAAATTGAGCAGCGCTGTAGCTGAGTCGAAGGGAAGCCCCTTCCCTTTGATCCCTTCCCCGCCGGGGGGGGGGTCCTGGGGGGGGGGTCCCGGGGGGGGTCCCGGGGCAGGTCCCAGGGGGGGTCCTGGGTCAGATACGACTCCCCTCTGGGCGGTTCGGGAGCCCAGACAATCCCCAAGACGTAGCACAAGTGTCCCGAGAGGCCCCCAAGAATGTCCTCGAGAGACCCGAATCGCCGAAGTATCGGTCCAAGGCGCGATAGCCTCCAGACAGCTTCGGAAGTTCCAACTCCAAGGGCACTCCCAAGAGGGCCCCAAGGAGCAAAAATCATGGATGTTGTTCCTAAGTTTTTGAAAGATTTCGGCATTCGCGCCTTGTCAGCTTCCCGACGCTCCAAGACAGGCCAAGAAGCCCCCAAGACCGACCCAATATCGCCCAAGAGGCCTCCAAGAGAGCCCCAAAACGACCCAAGAGGGCCCCAAGACCGACCAAGAGGTCTCCAAGACAGCCGAAGAGGCCCCCAAGACGGCTCCAAGGAGGAGCGCAGACGGGGGGCCCGAAAGGACATTTCGAGCCCTCGGCCTGAGAAGCTCTCAGGAGGCCCCCAGAGGTCCCTCAGAAGCCCCGCAAGAAGCCCCAAGAAGCCCCCAAGAGACCCCCAGACCCCAAGAGGGCCCCACGAGGCTTCCAAGCGGCCCCCCAGAGCTTCCCAAGAGGTCCCCAAACTACCCCGAAGAGGCCCCCGAGAGCGCTCGTCGTCGTCGTCGTCGCCATTCAGGGTCGGCGGCACTGGCCGTAAGGCCTTCGCAATAGTCCAAGAATTGTCTGGGGACGTTTGAGTATTGTTTGATCAGTTTGAATGTTGTTTGACTTGTTTGCATTTTTCCTCCAAAATCCGCCTGTAGGGGGACAGGCCCGACCTAACCCTAACTGGAGGCCTCCTGGATGGGGTCCGAGCAGATGGGATCGGAGGATTCCACCGCATCGCCCATGCATCGGCGATGCATCGGCGACGTCGGCGATGCATCGGCGACGTCGGCGTGGAGAAAATCGGGATCCAGATCGACCCTCATCCGCGATGCATCGGCGATGCATCTGCGATGCGGCGCGATCCTACGACCCTATCTACAGAGTGGCTGCTCAAATTCGCCGGCCCAACGGGCCAGAGGCGTGCTAAAACCTTTGGCGATTGGTTCAAGGTCCCGGCAGGTCCCGGCAAGGTCCTGGCAAGGTCCCGGTACAGAGATGGTACTGCTCCTGGGCGCCGCCCTCGGGGCCCCCCAGAAAGCCTCAAGAAGGGCCAAGATGCCCCGAAGAGGTCGCCAAGATAATCTCAGAGGGCTCCGAGACGCCACAAGATCGCCCCAAGACGCCCAGAATTGCCCCAAGAAAGCTCAAGAAGCCTCCCAGACGCCCCGAAAAGCCTCCAGAAGCATTCCCAAGAAGGCCCCAAGAAGTAAAAACCATCGATTGATATTGCATTTTCCGATGAAATCTCTGTCTCGCATTTTCAGCTTCTCGACGCTGCAAGATGGCCCCATAGGCCTCCATGACCGCCCAAAGACAGCCCGAGAGGCCCCCAAGAGGGCCCCAAGAGGGTCCAAGAGGGCCCCAAAACGGCCCCAGAGGCGCCGAAGATTCGCCCAGAAGGGCCCCAAGACGGCCCCAAGAGGGGCCCAAAAGGGGAAACACGAACCACCAAGTCGAGCCTTCTGCCCCAAAAGGCCCCCATGAGGCCCCAAGAGGCCGCCAAGAGAGCCTAGGAGGCCCCCTGGAGGCCCCACGAGGCCCCCAAGAGGCCCCAAGAGGCCACGAACGCGCAGACAAACGCCTGAGATGGCACAACACGGGCCGGCGGAATGAGCGAAGCGATTAAATAAGGAACGCTAGAGAAGGAAAGAAGCCCCTTCTTGGCGCCAACAGCGCCTGGGTTGCACAAGGGCTAGAGACAAGCCCTGGAATGACCAAAGGAGAACAACGAGCGTCTTCCGAGCCCAGAGCGATCCTCCGTCGCCATGCAAACCAGGAACACCAGACGAGCCGACCTGCGATAGGCAAACTCCTGCAGCGAACCTTGGCCGCGGAGGAAAAAACGAACGTGCCGCATGCGAATCTTACCCGAAGCCCAAAACGATCCTCCGACCCCACCTGCTCCGAACCCGTCGGGGAGGCCTAGACTTAGGTAAGGCCTGTCCCCCTACATGGGGATTTTGAACGGAAAAAATAATCAAAAAATGCACCAAAAATGCAAAAAACAAAAAATGGTCCCCAATCTATGTTTGACTATTTTTGAGTAGTTCTCCTGTAGAGGGACAGGCCCGACTTAAGCCTAGACCCACCGTGGCCCCCGAGGAGAGGCGCGCGTCGGGGGCGGCCGGGCCTCCGCCGGGGGCTTCTTGGCGGGCGTGAGGAGCAGCGTGGTGCTGCCCAGGAGGACCCCGAGCTGCACGCCCAGCAATCGGCCCAGGGTGGCCGCGCGGCGCACCTGAGCGACAGCGACGACCTCGACGACGACGACGACGACGACGACGACGACGACGACGACGACGACGACGACGACGACGACGACGACGACGACGGCGGCGGCGGCTGCGGCGGCGGCGGCTGCGACGGCGGCGTTGGCGGCACGAGCGACGAGAAGAAAAGGATACTGAGCGAGATTGGAACAAAAATAGCTATGGCACAAAACGGAAGTGTTCGGCGCTCCTCGCGGACCTCCCAAACATTATGGTTATGTCATTGTCTGCTCTCCCACGGACGTAGCGGCCCTGTGCGGTGGCCGACGCAGGCCGCCGGCGAGGCACGCCGCGCGGAGAAAACGATGGCGCGCACGCGCGGCC